ATGACCCCCCCCCCCCCAAAACACACGCATATATCCAAGAATTTCTAATCTTATTCGGCTCTAATTATACTGTTGAGATTCGTTCTATTTTCTGTGTGTACGCACTAGGAGGAAGGATGCTATCTTTCCACTAGTATTCAGTGATTGTCGTCCCAATGAACCATAGTTTTCTTAAAAGCTTTTGCCTATTGGTTGGATATGTGCACTGAGAAAGGTTAATCTGAAGTGTTGATGTTTGTGAAGCTTCGTGATTTGTGATCATTACTTGATGTTTGTGAGGGTTCAGTAACAGATGAGTTGCTTTTAGAAGCTTGCTTCAGGGACAACATTTGTCATCTCCCTGGTACTAATATCAATGCAGCTCAATCTGACAAGTGCTATGGTAATCCGTTGTCATTTCCCATGTGTGGGGACTTTTCAGTAGAGGGTTCATCAAATGGGCTTAAATTATTAAATAAATTTGTTAAACAGTGTACTGAGCAATGAGCATGCAAATGTGGTGTTATACCTCAAAAGTGTCAGATTGAATCGTCAAGGCAATTTGTGTTAGCATATGTTTTTTGTATTACTACAAGGACTTGGGTACCTGCTATGATCCTGTCGCTGCAGTAAGAGATGATGGTCCCCCGTCCAAATAAATCGCTATATTTTCTCTACTTTCATTCAAATTACCTTGTAGAAAGTTAGTAACTGAACTGATTGGTTTTCTCTAGTTGATGATCTTGCCAATTAAGAACTAAAGTATATGTGGAAAGGTTGATCTCCAATATGTTGCTCTTTTTGTTTTTTGTTTTATTTGATAAAGTAAAGGTTTATTAGAAAACAGTCCCAAGATGGTACTGCAGCAAACTTTCTGGTATAATTGACCAAAACCATCCTTGCATTTAGTTTTGTAACTGCACGAATTGAAACTGGAGCAACAATTGCCCGAGGATGTTCTTATGTAAGATCAGATCCCCCAAGTAACAAGGGACTATGTTTTCATATCAATGCAAAGTAAAATGTACTCCGAAGTTGAACGGCCAGCAGAGACTGTAGAGTAGGTAGCACACAGCGATTGGCCTAACAAAATCCTCGTTACAATGTAAAAGTAGCCTTTATGCTACTATTCATATGCCTTTGTTGGTGCATACACATGCTAAGTTCCGAAAAATATAAGTACTAAAAGAACATGCAAATACAGTGTGTTTACTGGTTGGAACTGATGCCTTTAGCAGTCCCTCCCTCTCCTTGCTTTCTTGGTTCATGTTCCTTTCGCCTTCTCCCTTTGCCTTTCCTGATAATGTTTTCATTTTTCATGTACTATGTTTTTTGTTGGTATTCTGATTAACATTTTTTGTGTTCCTTTGATGTAATAGCTTTCAGTGAGGAACTGCTTCATCAGAGGATCGGTGGTGAGATACGTCCAGTTACCTCCCGAGGGAGTTGACATTGAGCTGCTTCATGATGCTACGAGGAGAGAAGCTCGTGGTGGCTAAAATTTGGACTTTGAAAATAGATGTATCTTTAAAAGATTTTGTGTGGGTAAATCAGCTTATACTGATTTCTTTTCTCAATGTTCAATGCATTTCTAGATGCTATTATTGCTATTGTCAGCAGTGCTTTTTATTCTTCCTTTTCCTCCTCTTTTTCCGTCACTATCATTAAGCATTCTGGCAAGGAAAGCCGTGGCACATTGTGTGGTGAAAGCCGTGGATATGAAGTTCTGGCAAGGAAACTAATTGGCACAGGTTTTAGTGCATTCTGGCTAATTTGGCAAAATGCACTTCATTTTGCAAATATTGTAATATTATTTATAACCAAAAGTCACGCTTTTTGTTATAAATAATATTACAATATTTGCAAAGTGAGGTTCAGTATTTGCAA